TTCTTAAAAAATGACTCAAAACGATTAATACATTATCAAAATAGTTAGCAATTAATTGACAACTTATCGAATAATCTGCTAGTCGTTGCAACTCTATTGTGATTCCTGACTCATATTGCTACCGTAGAGAGGTGCAGACACATTAGTTGCATGGGATACAAGCACAGGGATGTAAATAATTGAAGGATACATTCTCTATCCCATTTCCACCAACCCAGTCACCTTTGATTAGTAATGGCTCTCAGTCAATCTTGTTTATGAGCGTCCAAACGGTGGCTTGACCTAAGAGAGTTACAACTGTCACTCTCATCAATATTTCTGACTCTCCGTGGCACCGATTGACTCTCCGGAGGTCAATGCAGGTCAGAGGTCAAAGCTAGCGACCCTCAGGTTCCTTCAAATGGCCGGGGCCGGCCTCCCCGGCTCAAAGTGGTGGGAGGATTGATGGAGGCAGATTTGACTCCGATGGATAAATGGAGGAGGATTTATGGGGCTGACCGCTGGGTAATGGACCCTGACTGTGATCATGGGGCCGCCTTGGTCACTTAACAAAGTCGCATCATTGACATTGTGGTGATATATAAGTATTTGTTGAGCTCATTTGGAAAGAAATCCATTATGGCCACTTTGGAAATAAGTTGTTTCTTACAGTTCATCATTCAGTATCTTTAGAATCTACAGGAACCCGTCTTAACAGGAGCTATTATTTAGTCCAGCAGGCCTTGCAGTAGTAAAGGTATTTTGGTACTTAATGTACCTCTTGTCCTTGCAGTTTGATTTAATGTGCAGTTCATCCCCGTGGAAGAGCAGGTGTCAACTCTTTTTCCCATATGGTGGGGAAAGTTTTAAAGTGTTACCTTAGCAGACCTGGCTCATAACAACTGTGAGTGTGCGTACGTGTTAGCATTTATCTTTTCAAACTCTGATACGTGCTTGCTGTTCAGTGTGTATTTTTATCTGCATTCATTTCCCATGAATGTACTAGACAGGTGGGTACAGGAGGGAGAGGGAAAGAAGCATCCATTAAGTTTTACTGCTTTCTATTCATGGTTCCTCTAAACTTGTAAACTTTTGCATGTGTTGGTCCGGAAAATGTAAAGAAGTAGGAATAGTGCTTTCTGAGGTTGCACTGAATGAAAACAACCTCAAATATAGTGTTAAGCTTAAAAAGATTAAACGTACTACAAGGAGTTTTTAAATAGTTCTAAAACATCAGCGAGAACATCGGGTATTTCTATATAGTTACCCTTAATGCTTGCCACTGGGTCGGATTCGGGCAGATTCCCCTTGAATTCAATGAGACAAGGTTGAAGAAACACTTGTCCTTCCTTGTAGGGCCTTTAAAAAGCTTACAAAGTTATCCCATAAACCCCATAGCATCCTTAGACAACTATTGCATAAGTTCACTACATTGAAATTTGCCCTAAAGTTGTCTAAGTAAAGTTACTTAAAAATGTTGCTGCTTATCAATATCATTATCAATGCAAATGTGAAATTGTCTTCAATCTTCAAATCATCTTGTGTTATTCATACAAATAGTTGTAACCGTTGTTTATTTGCCTCAAACTGCGTATGTACCAACTCCATCGACTTTAGCTGCAAGCTAGACGTCCGCTCACACACCCACCCTGCGTGGGTAGTGTGTTCACAGCTCAACCATCGGCCTCTGACTGATCTCAGAGTTGAGAATGAACTCCATTTCGTCCTCATTTACTCCTCCAGACCCCTCTCAGTGTTGTTCTGTCTCCGCATGTTCATGAATTTGACTCCTATAGCCTCGCCATCAACAGAAACTTAAACAAGTTTTAACATTTTAAAACCGCCCGCCGGCGTCTCCGACTCGATTTGTGCTACCTAGGGCGAATTCGTGAATGTATGCACTTTGTGTTCAGTCTGAACACACCTTGACAAAAGACTCATTTAATAACACTGAAATCTATCTGCAGCGTTTGACCTATTTTAGATGCACACAAGATTAATAGATAATCAGATGGAGAAGGCAGAAGCCATTGATACGTTGCAGCGCTGTCTGATTTCTGATGCCTTTTGATGCCAGCTCTGAGAAGATACCTTTTCTTCCCCCCCCAGATGTTTCTGTGTTTAAATCAAAGCACATTTCATTATTGCAAATCAGATTGTTTGCTGTGTAGTTCCTGCCTAACATTTCTCCATGAAGTCTGCTTTTCTAAATCAAATTAGACCACATTCTGTTGATTTCCTCACTAAAGCACAAAATCAGAAACTGGAAGCAAGAACGAAACAAGAAGAAGCCTTCATTAAAAGAAACTAACATGTTGCTTTTTGACACCTTTGAATTCTCTCACATCAGCGATAGTCAGCAGTTGTCTTTAAACTTTCACGGTTAGTTGAAGTAGAAAGAATCCCAGACAGGTGGAGCGTGAAACTTGGACTGGCATCTAGTCCAGCAGAGAATACATTCATGATAATGAATAAAAAATGATTAGACAAACCCGAACACAACATCAGATGACCCAACATGTGGGGGTTTTTTGAAATGGTTGTGGAGTGTGTGTGTCTGGGATGGTTGGAATGACCATTTTTCATCTGTCTACAATCCCACACCCCGCACACACACTCACACACACTGAGACCCCTGCCACGTCTTTCTCTCCTTACTTGCTCTCCTCCTCTGCTCTCTCTATTCTGACCACGTTAGACCAGGACCCTGTCACTGACCCTCCAAAGAGAGATTGATTACAGGAAAGAAGAGAATTTTGTTTGCCTTCCCTTTCTGTGTCTCTCAGTTTTCTAGGTTTTCTTCCTCCCTGTCACTATCTCCCGGCTCCCTCCTTCCCTTTTTGTTTATCTCACACTCTCCCCTGTCTTTATTTTCTCCTTTGTCGAGTTAAATTTGAAAACCTCCTGCTACGGGTTTTACATCCACAAATACCAGCCTGCTCCCGTTTGGGGTGGATATTAAAAGCAAGAGGCGGCACAAAGGTCCAAATTAGATTCTTTTGAATTGTTTTATTGTGGATTCAGACCTGCCTAATGTTACCTCTCCCTCTCCCAGCTCCTTTGGGCTGCGGGGAATGGCTGTGGTAAGTGTGTGTGTGTGTGTTGTGTGTGTGTGTGTGGTGTGTGGTGTTGCTGGTGTGTGTGTGTTGTTGTGTACGTGCTGTGCGTGCGGTGCCGTGCGTGGCTGCCGTGCGTTGCGTGCGTGCGTGCGTGCGTGCGTGCGTGGTGCGTGCTGCCTGTGCAGGTGGGTGCGTCGTACAGCGTGGGTCGCTGTTGTGCGTAGGCGTGCTAGTGCGCTGTGTATTTGGGGGCATTGAGGCAACAGCTGGTCATATGAAAATGTACACTGCGGAGGAGGCAGGGCTTGGGCGTATTTGCTCAAAGGGTTTAGGTGGTTGATGGTCCACTCTAAGGGTTTGTGAGTCATCTTAAAATGGATTACAGCCCTCAAAAAAGCTCTTAACTATACATTTGTTTCATCATAGAGAGAAATTTGTTTGTATTGGATGTTATTCTCCAAATGCTTCATATCCCTCATCATTTCCTGTGTCCATTTTCCTCAGATTTTCCATTAGCTTTGCTCAATCAGGAGTCAGCTTCCTTTGTTTTCTCTTCAGGCGCCAACAGACGCCCTATATTTTCAGTTTTTCAAGTGCTGCGGTGTCAAATGCTTTTGGAGAGCCTCCCTGTTGCTCATTTCAACAAGAAGCAGGCCAGCTGCTTGGTGTAAAAGTTGCCAGAAGAGGAAAGAAAGCTCCCCCTCTCACCTCCTATCCTCTTTTTTTCCTCTCCACCTCCTCTGATGATCCGCCTGAAGTTTGAGAAATTAAATATAATATGGTTTCTTTGCAAGAGTTTGCCTCGTCACACAAAGCCAGACCTCCGCACTTAGATTCAGGGCCGTGTCAGCAATGGACAAAGACCTCGCTGAACTCATTATCATTTTGGTACAGGGCAAAGAAACGCTCTGGTGAATCGTTAAAAGATTTTTAAAATTTATTTAACGAATCACAATCGTCTTGGGTTGTGCTAAGCTCAGGATGCATTGACAGTGCCCTTGCAAAATAGTTTTAGGGGGAACTTGTTGGGAGGCAAGTCCTGACATTAAAATGGCCAAATTCCCACAAAAGCACAGGTAAAAGCTGCTAGCTCGTACCTTCTACTGTAGGTTAGGATTAGTGTAACTTGCCATTTTCAGCCTGTAGGTTGCTAGCTTGGATAACTGAAATAGTCGAGCAATGCCAGGCTCATACCTACAACCTACTTCCTGTCTTACACTACAGTTTGCCAAATAAAAGACTCTCTCACTCTGTCTGACTCTCTTTTTCTCCGCCCAGACACGCCTCTGTTGGTGAGGAGCAGCAGTGACTCGGCCTTGGCCCCGCCCCACGAGATGACCGCCACGCCCCCACCTGATGACCGTAACAACCTGTCTCCTGAACCGGTGAGCACAGCGCCACAGTGGCATAAAAATGACAGCTTTTGATCTGTGCACGATGTCTTTGTTATTCGAATATAACATAGAGATATAAAGAATGGAGAAACAGAAACTGGCCAAAACGTTCCATTTCCAGCAGCTGGAACTCTTATAAAGTGGAGCAAAATGTTTTAACCAAAGCAGGAGACAATGGAAAAGAGCTGAAAAATGTAAAAAGAAAGGGCATAAATAACATGAACATGTTACATTTCCCATGACATCTCTGGTGTGTGCTATTCCCTCATAGAAGACAGAGGAACCCAGTGAATATTCCTCTTGTGGTCCAGCTCAACGCCCCAGGCTGTACTTTGAAAGGGTCTGCTTTTCAAGTGCTTCTTTTCCAAACAGGCCGCCATTAAGGAGGACTTTGTCTCGCTGCCTTTTCTCGTCCCTCTGTGGGTGACCGCGTGCGCGTGATGGGCAGGACGGGGGCTGTGTGAGGTCACGCCGTCGATGTGTGTGTTAGGGGAACTCAGGTAGAGAGAGGCAGGGAAAAGAGAGGGAGTCCTGCCGCTCGTCCCCCGCCGTGTTGGACACAGCGGTGACTAAGCAGAACCCAGGCATCAGCGGGCGGCGAGTAAACACAATGACAAAGCCCGTATTTGCTGTCCAAAAAAGCGTCAGGCCTCATCCCCTTCAAACAGCACGGCCGGGCCAGAGCGAACTGGCTCATTATAGATGATTTAAAATATCCTCAGAACTGTTCTACAAACTCCATCTCTCTGCTGCCTGCTTCAGACCTCAGCAGCCTTATTTAAACCCAGACAGTTGCTCTTTAGCTCACTGGCTATGCTGCCATGTCTTTCTGTTTGTCTATTTAAAGTGTTTTAAAGGCGTTTCTGCTTTATTATATAGGGAATAAAGAGGAGACGGTGCTTATGAGGTTCTTTGAAAACTCCTCAGACCTATTACCACACCGTTCAGCATCTACGATACAGAGGTTGTGAGATCATTTGCCATAATGTTAATTAATTAAACAGGTTTCTTTATGCTGCTTAGCCATGATGAAACCAAAATATCTAACTGTTGGACGGAATACCATAATATGTTGTACAGGCATTGTAATACATTAATAAAGAGAATAGTTTGTAGTAATTGGACCTCAGGTATGTTCATTAATTTCCACTCATTTTTCCGACAGGACCCATCTGTGTAGATGTTTCTCCAGCTGTCTGGATTGATGTTGGATCACGTAGCATTAAAATGTTATTGAGTTAGTTGGACATTTGGGAATGTAAAAGTAGTTCAAATACCTTAGCACAGACATAAATCATAGTTTCATATGCAGTAAATCAATACAAGGATGCGCGCACAAACTCGATTACTGCGAAGGTCCAGATTAAAAAGGAGAGTTACAGTAACAGTACCAGTAAGAGTTGCTTTATTGGTTTTTGCATGTATAAACTTAATTATTTCACACTTCAATCATTTAATGATCTTGCAGATCCCTTTTAATCTGCATTTATAATTAGAATGTGCATGTAAATGCAACAAATGGCATCCGTGCTCTCAGGCAAAGCTCATGAATGAGATTCAGATAGTAATTATGCTGTTTCTTAGAATGTAATGCTTTATTTGAAGGATTACCTGTGAGAGAACTCACCACCCCTCTGATCCACATCAACAGGATGATATCAAATATAAAATATAGTAATAAATGATCCGTAAGTAATACTTTGTTCACAAGTACAATAATTTGTAAATGTATAATCCACATATGACACAGGCGCACAGAGAACAAATAATATTTGTTGCCTGGTAGTGTGTGTGTGTGTGTGTGTGTGTGTGTGGGTGTGGGTGTGTGTGTGGGTGTGTGGAAGGCTAGGAGGCCGTCACAGCTCTTGGGCATATTGAGTCGTGGGCCTGATGGACTTCCATAGATCAATACACTATCACTTCATCCTCGCTCGTCCACTGTACCACTCCTCTGCAAACCCCCTCCTTATCTCCACACACTCACCTACTCATACACACACACTTAAACACTAGTAACACACACACTCGTGTCCCTTTTTGTCTTGGAGGAGGTATTGAAAGCTAGATAAAGTGTAATTAAGGCTGATACAGTGATAAATATGCGCCCTGCCCCTTTAATTGATTTTACTGCCTGCTATGGTGAAGGCCAAGGTTGGCTCACTTCTCTGATTCCCACGTAGTCTACGCACATACCTCTCGTAGTCTTTCTCTCTCTCTCTGAGTTAATGAAACTGGCAAAAGGCTGAGCAGTGCTAAACACGCAGCCGGCCCTTTAATTGATTTGGACTTCCTGCCATGTACGCGGCTAATAAACGAAACGTTTAATGTTAGCCGCTAAAAAGCAGTACCCGGCGAATTCTTTTTTCTCATGCTCCTCTCACCTCTGTCACTCTCCTCCTCCTAATCCTCGTTATGTTTCCTCTTCATCCCCTCTCTTTCCATCCCACTCCCTCGCTCTGCCTCCCACATTTTTGGCTGAGTTTCAGCACCTCGGGGTGCAGTGATGCAATACATGTTCACGCAGCAGAAAGTCGGACCTTAATGTGTTACACTCTGTCCGATTTCCTTGAGCTTGGATGTAAAAAGCTGACACCTAAACTAGCTAAGCTAAATTCTGCAGTTTTTCTGCGACTCTCTGCACAGCGTCTCTGCCTCATGCTAGCGGCTGGTGGCTGTGTGTATCTGTCCGTCTGTCCCTTGAGGATTGCATTTGCGTGTGTGTGTGTGTGTTTTCTAAGAAGTCGCAGGTGACAGAATGTGACCACGGCAGTCAGTTGATGTGATAGATATGGTGAGGGTCAAGGAGCACCGGCTAGTACACTGAAGCTAGTGTATATACATACGAGCACTGTTCCTCACACACACACACACACACACACACACACACTATTTGTCAACCAACCTGACGTGTAGCAGATGACTGCAGCGCTCAGAGGAAATGCACAAAAGAGCCACACACCTCATTACTCATCCGTCTGACAACAACCACACACACTCGCACACAAACACCTCATCTCTCATATGTCTGCACACACCGCTCTGTCACTCACACACACCTCAGACTACAAACAGCAACCCAAAACACAAAAACATGTATGGCAGTGTGCAACACAATAACAGAGCAGACAACCTGTTAGTTGTGCTTAGACGGGTTCCCAGACAGGTTTCACAAATTATTTGAGCGTTCATCCTGGGACCACAAAGCCTGCCACATTCAAATCACTCAGTGAGGAAAAACAGATTATATAAAACAAAACACCTACAAACTTTGATTCCTGAAGAAGATGTACATGTACTCACTGTTCGCTGAAAAAAAAAAACTGCTCCCTTACATGTTTTACAGTTTAGTTTTTGAACTGTATTCATACTGGAGTTCATTGTTTAAGTTGAAGCAGGTAATGAAACGGACGTTGTAGCTCAAGTTGAGGCACTGAAGTAAGTTAAAGTTGCAGCCAAAGTGAAAGTGCTGATAGGAGTTGAAGTGAAAGCCCAAACAGTAAGCATGGAACAGTGTTGAAAATGTCGTTTGAAGTGTAAGTGTTAAAAAGAGTTTAAAGTGTCAGCGGAGTAGTAAGTGCTGAAAGAGGTTGACAGTTGTCAGTTGAAGTGAGTTCAAGAAGTTGAAGTGTCAACTGATATTTATGTGAGCACAGATGGGAGTCAAAAGCCCTTTTTAAACCGAGATCCCCACTATAGCGCTTTCAAGAAGACCCAGCTTTGCTTTTTAACACCAAACCAAACAACGCGTTATGCTGCCCCAGTGTGTGGTTTTTAGATGGCATGCCAGGGTCAGTTGAAGCAGCAGCAGTAGTCACACTGGTTGAAGTTGTGTAGTTTTTAACACTAGAGCCAGTACCTGCATTTTAGTACACAAACCACCTTACTTTGAGGAATACAGGCATATAAAAACCCCTTTGCTCAAGAACTTTGCCTAAATAAATTAGGCTAAAACTGGCAACATTTTGATTTAGAATCCAAAAATATCTCATTAGAGTATTAGTAAGATGAATATAAATCTGACCAGACATTAAATGCCAGCTTACAGAAATGTGTCTATAGCGCACAGTAAGTACCAAACAGGTATTAAGGTTTGATACCCAGCCCTTGTAGTACTACTCATGTTTAGTAGTAGTAGTAAGTAAAGCTTTATTTATATAGCACCCTTTTAACACAGAGGTCCAAAGTGCTTTACAGACAACAAACATACATATGGGTATTACATATAAATATATACATGCATAGCATTACCCAATCAAACATACATAGGGAGCATGTAAATGTAGTAGTAGTAGTCGTCATATTATTGCTAACATTGCTAGGAGTGAACTGATTTCAAGCATGCATTACTAAACAGACATTATGTAATATGTACATTAGTCTAAAGAGTAAACCAAAGCATCCATAATAATAACCATAAAGATATAAATGAAAGTGTGAGGGTGTGTTTGCGCACTAATAATGAATCACATCTGTGTGATCACTCTAAGGTTACAGACATAGAGACAGTAGTCTATCTGGCATACTCAGAGGAATGGGGATGGCACTAATGTTTCTTCTTTGTGTGTTGAGATACGAGCAGCGAGCGGGGCCAGCTGATTGGCTGAGCAGCAGCAGGGTGCCTGAAGAGGAAAGCTGCTGTTTTTATGTCTAGATAAACAGGAGTGCTCTCAATCAGGGATTAGATTCACACTGGGCATTACGGCGTGATCCCTTAATTTCAAAGCATTAAAGAAAGGCAGGTTTGTGTGTGTGTGTGTGTGTGTATGCGTATGTGTGTGTGTACCTCCCCAGATGCCATATCTTATATAATACACGTACTATGTATTATTGTAGTAAAGCAGGGTTTTTATGCTATTGTACCGTGTGTGTGTGTGTGTGTGTGTGTGTGTGTGTGTGGTGTGTTGTGTGGTGTAATACGAAGTAGTTCACAATTCCTGAAGAATCTGGCATTAACAAAAAGGCGAATGTGTGTCAATGATGAGCTGTACACATGTGTTCATCCTACTCTCCTGCAAACTTGTGTGCCAAACGACCTGTGGTCATGTACCACCCTTACTCTGTGGGCCTTGTGGATAGTGTGGTGTGTAACTGTGGGCGGAGAAGCCTGTTGATGTATGTGCGTGCGTGTTGGTTACGCTAATGGCGTTGCAGGAAAGACTGCACAGCGAC